AAACTTTGAATAATAATGAAAATGAATGAACACAGTACAATAAAAGATAATAACACAAATACAAACCCTATAACCATCCTAACGGGGTAGCAGCGTTGGGAAACCTCATCAAAGGGTGGGTGGATACACACACTGATACCTAAAGTCGACAACTGGACAGATAGGGGACAGGGGGACCTCAATTTCTACCTAACGCAGATACTTAGTGGATATAGATTCCGAAACGCCATTAGTCCACACTGTCCGACTTGTGCTCAAGTCATAGAAAATGCATAGCACAATATGTTCTCATGCCCACGTTTCTCATATGTTAGAAATCGCTTAGAAAATGCACCAGAAAGTAGGCTCACGCTGAAAATTGGAAAGCTGTCTGAAATGCGCCAGCTATTATTGTGACTGAATTACGACACACCAATAACTTAGGCGTCAGTCCGTCCGTTATACTGAGGGGTCTTAATTGTCCTATATCACTCCTATGAAGTAATGATTAATCGGCGGTCCTGTAGTAGTGATTCTTTGAGGGAGTAGGCTAGGTTTAGCGGATTAAAGTGTCACACTCCAGATTTGATGCTTCCCCCTACTTAAAAAAAAAAAATATATACATATATATATCTAATATGTAAAAATCTCGTGTCACGGTGTTTGTGGTCGAACTCCTCCTAAACGGCTCGACCGATCTATATCAATTTTTTTGTGTATATATGGTACGTATGAGAATAGTATGTAAGGTACATTTCATACCGCTAGGTGCAGGGGGCGTGGCACGTCCCATACAGATGGGACGTGTTCATGGTAGAGTACTCGAACATTGTATAGAGATATTTGAAAACAGTCGCATAGTCATGGAGAAAAATTGTGGTCATTGGAAAAGGGGGCGTGGAACCTCCCATACAAACCGAGTTTTTCATACTGCATATCTCTGGAAGTGTTCACGGTAGAGTACTCGAACATGGTATGGTGATATATGAAATCAATCCCATACTCTTCGAGAAAATTTGGGCTATTTGAAAAAGGGGCGTGGCGCCTTTCAAACGCACTGAAACTATTACGTAACTTTTGCTAGGTCATTTAAGACTGCAATGGAAATATGCCTTCTGACAACAACCAAACTGTAATATTAGAAGATGAACGCGTCACTGAAAATCATGAACGTTAACTGTTGGTGAAAATGTTGGACCAAAATGTTTCAATACAAAAAATTAATTTTGGGCGGGACGAAGTTCGTCGGGTCTGCTAATATATATATATATGTATTTAGGTACCCGTATGTATGCGCGTTGCTTAGGGATCTGCTTGCAATTTTTCTAAACTGATTGCTTCGGCTGAGTGTCTTAGCAAAATCAAACGACGCTGTAAGCAAAAACAAATGATTTCATGTCTCTTTTCGATATTACTGTCTGCTTTCGCTGATTTATTTTTTAGGTCGCAGCTAAGCAATAGCAAATGTATTGAAAATGACCAAGAACTGCTTGCTTTAAAAAGCAAAAAAAGTGTTGCTTATACGTACGATTATACTAATTTGTAGTCAGCAATTCAAACCCTGCTTGTATGTTCCGAAGCAGGCATAACACGCCCGCGTTTCGTTGCAGAACAGTTCGGACTGTTGCTACATCATTATCTTGGACTAATCGCTGCATACCTTTAATGTAGGGTTGTTATCCGACCTCTTTTTCCCGGACACCGTCCTCTTTTTTAAGCATCTGTCTTCGGAAAAAATTTGTGTCCGGGGAAAGTCCTACATTTTGTGGCCTCACAAATTTTAGTTTTTCTTTTACAAAAGTATTTCAAACACTCAGATTAAAGTTCGCATTTGGAGTACCCTGTTATGTTTCTCATATTCTCTTAAAGTAGAATACTTCTTCCAACATCGTTACTGCGTTATTATAAAAGTATTGTGAATTTTGTGTAAAGAGATATACAAAAGCATGTAAGTTAATTTAAGCTGTATATTGCTCGCTAAGATTTGAAATATGTTCATATTTATTTTTGTAGATTCAAGCGCAAATGCGTTTTTAGTAACGTGTTAAAACAAAAATATCCGTTTATGGAAAAGGGAGATTTCGATTGGGAAGTAACTCGCACTTTGTGTTTGTCAAAAATGTCCATTGCTAATAAAGGTGTAAATGATATTATAGCTCATATCAATTCGCAAAAGCACAAAAAGAGCCATACGGGGAGAGCAACAACTACTCGGATTGACAATGTATTTTCGAAAGTGTCTACAAATAGGGAGCTACGTGTATGGCTTTCCACACCATATGTCATAATATGCCATTCTTATCACTAGATTGCACTATGGCTTTAAATAAGGCTTTATGTAAAAATTCGCAAAACGCGTTGAATGCAACTTGTAATAGACGCAAAGCTTTCGACAATAAAGTTTATAGAAGAAATTAAACAAATTTAATTTGTGAGTGTGTCAGCCGACACCAGTAACTACGGTGCAACAAAGTTATTGCCGATAGTTATTCAGTATTTCGATTCAAAAAGTAATGGCATCGAATCTAAAATTGTAAACATATTAACTATAAAAGACGAAAAATCGGACACCATTACTGAATGCATATTTTCCGATCTTGGATAACATGGTTTAAATACAAAATATGTTGCTTTTAGCGGCGACAATTGCAACACAAATTTTGGTGGAAAAGATAGGCCACAAAATGTTTTTGCAAAATTTAAAAATATACTGAAATGTATCAGGTGGCGACAAAATAAATCAAACACGTCCGTTCTTTGTAATGTGCAAAATCGAATGATGTCTTCGATCCGTTTTTTAATGCCGTATAGCGTCGCTTATACAAAACGGTTCTTACTCGCTGTAATTTAACCGATTTCTATTGGCTAGTTACAAGAGAGCCTTAAGGTCTAGTTAGAGTTTGAACATTTGTGAAACTTAAGGTCTAAATACAACCAAACTTTAGCAGATAAATCTTAAGTTCTAATTAGTTATAAGAACGCATGTGCACACGAACACCTACACACTTATGAGTCCTACAACTCGGCCGTCCTGACTTATAGAATCTCCTGATTGTACGGGGTGAATAAACTTTTTTTTTTTTTATGGGTTTTTACAGTTCGTTTTCCTATACTCGTACCATGGCTTTAAGTTTGTAACCGACCAAGTACCTTTGTAAGGTATTTAGGTCTGCTGAAATCCCTCTACGTCTTCTATTATGTAGCGATCGTTTTCTAAAATTTTCGATATTCTACTATACGGTCCCTTGAATTTAGGTATTAGTTTGCTAGATGCTCCTACTTGCGAGTTGATATTGGAAACTACCACGTAGTCACCTACATTGAACCTACGAGGCTCTCGTCGTTTGGCATCTGAGTATTCCTTGTTGTAATTTTGTGCTTTAACTTGTACTGATTTTACCTAGTGGTACCGAGTTCGCCGTTTGAATTGGTTCTAGTAAATTTTCTCTAAGCCTGTCTATAATTCTTCCTTTCTGTCTCACTCCGAACAGCAATACGCTGGGAAACTCTTTTGTTGCCTTATGCACTGTGTTGTTGATTGCGTGCTCCACAGACTCTAACACTTTTACCCACCCATTTTCCTTTTCAGAAACTATAATTTTTGCGATCATGGGTCCCAAGCTTTTCTTGACAATTTTAACTTGGCCTTTTGCTTGAGGTTAACTTGTGGCGACTTTTATATGCTCGACGTTGTTGTCTGTTAGAAATTCTTCGAATTCGTTTGAGGTAAAGCAGGTTCCTCGGTCTGATACTACGCATTTTGGCCTACCCTGAAGTAATCTTTTAATGCCGTAACCGCTTCTTTCGACATTGTAGTTTTTGCAGGGTAAAGGCGAACAAATTTAGTAAACGCGTCTATTATTACTAATATGTGTTTATGCTTTGTGGATTGGCTATGAATTGGACCGTAGTGGTCAATGTGTATCATTTCGAATGGTACATTTCCCTTTGGTATCATGTGTAAAAACCCTTTTTTCTACCGGTTTTGTTGGAAAACGCAATGCATTTTAAACAATTCTCAATGTCACTGGTTGCCTTTTTTCTGATGTTCGGAAACCAGTAACTCTTTTCTATAGTTCCCACAACTTTGTCTATTCCTAAATGTCCCATTTCCTCATGATACTTGTATAAAACGTGTTTTTCCATAGACTCTGGTACGTAAAAGAGTAGGTTTCTGTCCTTCTTCTTGTAAATTATCCCGTTTCTCATCTCGTAGTGACTGTCTTCGCTAACCTCTAGTTTCTTTTTTATTTTCCCCCTCTGTTCGTCTCTATTCTGGCATATTATCAGATTTTCCTCAAAAGTGTTTGCGTGCACCACTAGCACGTTATTTACTCTGCTTAGTGCATCCACATGTTGCATTCTTTTTCCTGCTCTGTGTTCAAGTTCATAATCGTAATTTTGTGTTCTAAAGCCCACCTCGCTATTCGCGGGTTCATATCTTTCTTATTGAGCGTCAATGTTAGTGAGTTATAGTCGGTAACAATTTGAAATTTTATGCCCTGCAAATAAATTCTGAACCTTTTTAGTGCATATACGATTGCAAGTGTTTCTAACTCGAAACTGTGATATTTCGATTCTGTGGCTGTCGTGCGCTTGGAGAAATAGAACACTGGATGAAGTTTATTGTCTTTTTTCTTCTGTAACAAAATTGCTCCAAAACCTAAAGCACTTGCGCCACAGTGCAACTCTGTTGCCTCGTTTGGGTCATAGATTGCCAACAAAGGTGATGCAATCAGTTTTTTCTTAAGGCTGTTAAAACACTCTAGCTCTGTATCTCCAAACTGAAATTTTTAATCTTTCTTCGTAAGATCGTGGTGGGGTTTGGCTATCGTTGAAAAATCTTTAATGAACCTCCGGAAATATGAGCATAAGCCCAGAAAACTTTGAACTTCGTGAACTTTAGTCGGGACTGCAAATGTTTCTATGGCCTTTAGTCCTTTTTAACCTGAATACCTTCACCAGTAATAGTGTAGCCAAGGTATGATACCCTCGACTGCAAAAACTCACACTTATCTAACCTTAATTCTAAGTTATTCTGAACGATCTTTAAAAACACTTTTTGTAATATTTCAAAATGCTCCTTTAAACTCTGCGTCGCTATCATAATGCCGTCCAGATAAACTATAACCTCTCCACTTCGAATCATGTCCGCAAAAATTTTGTTGATGAACTTTTGGAACGTTGCAGGTGCATTTTTGAGTCCGAATGGCAGACTTATGAACTCGTACTGCCCTAACGGTGTAGGAAAGGATGTGTATTTTATTGAGTCTTCGCCCATAAACACATGAAAAAATCCGTTCTTGAGGTCCAGCTTCGTGAATATTTTCTTGTTCGCTAATCTATCTAACAAATCGTCTATGAGGGGCATGGGGTAAATGTCCTTTGCTGTAACCTTGTTTAGTTTCCTATAATCAACACATAACCGAAGTTCACCTGTTTTCTTTTTGACTAACACTATAGGTGACACGAATTCCGATTCACTAGGTCGTAGATATTCATCTATTATATTCTGTAACTCCAACTTCCCCTTATATGCCAGTCTTCTCGGTGCGCACGCAAATGGCTTTTCATCAACTAGCGTCAGTTTCATTTCTTTTCTAACTAAAGGTTTGTCATGCCTCTTTGAATTTAGGTAAACTCTTGTAAAGATTTCGTTAAACAGTTTTTTATCATTGAATTTAATCTCTTCACCCAGTTTGAGATCTATGTCTGTTTCCTCGCCCATATCTATTGCCATAATTTCGCTTACGACACTTCTAACGTTATCGCTTTTATCTAGCTTATCAATTTCATTAATGTCTTTTACGCTATTAGTATTCTCGCACGAACCTTTCTTTGTTATATGTAACTTAACCATTTCCTTAACTTTATACGTTGTCTCAACTTTGTTATTGTTCTCCACTTTGTTCACACCATCTTGCTTAAAAATTTTTTCAGTTTCATACTTTTCCTCTACTTTGTTTACACTACTTACTGTCTCAATTTGCGCTACTCTATCCAAAAACTCGGCGTTTCCAATTTTTAACCTTGCATGACTTGCTTCGATAAAATCCCTACCTAACAAAGCTGTGTAACCAATACATCCATTCGGTACCACTAGAAATTCAATTAAAACTTCTTTATTCAGGACTTTCAAAATACATTTCATTTTCCCAATAACACATAAAACTGTTTTGTTCAACCCGTAGTACGTCTCGTTTACTTCTTCTAACTCTACTCCCGGGGGCACCACAACCTGCTTCAATAAACTAACCGGGCTGCCTTAATCAACTAGGCACTCTATAATTATATAAGTGTTCATATGTGCAAATACGTATAACCTAAAATAACTTACAAAATTGTTCTTCTCCTTCTTGTACATCTTGCACCCCATTGCGTAGTGGCCCTGCTGTCCGCATGCACAACACGTACCGGCATCTCTCTTTGGTTTTCTACAATCCTTCGCGTAATGTCCAGAGCAGTTGCAATTATAACACCTTAGCCGCTCTCCGGTGTATGGCTTGGCTACTAATCGTTTCGGCAATGTTATTGAGCGGAACGCCCTTACCACCTCATTCGCCGACGTGAAATTTTGCAGCCTTGCCTGGTTTCGGAGTTGTCTGTCCGGTATCCCTACCACGAGGTAGTCAGCGAACTCTTCGGCAGTGATGTTCAAATCGCTGCTCAGCAAGAACTTATCGTTGTAGTAGTTGGCGAAACTTTATTCAGGCGACCAAACTCGTTTTTCGAACTTGCGGCGGCGTTCGATTTATCTTTCGCCGGAAGTGAAAACGGTCTCCATATCGCACAATAATTCGTCAATGTCTTTAGGAAAACTGGACTTAGCGTTGTACCATGTTAGCGCGAGGCCTTTTAGCTTTAGTCGTATAGCCACACACAGCATGGCATCGTCTACCTTGAAAATTTCACGGTAGTGCATCACTTGACTTCGCCATGTATTGAATCCATCGCCGCCGTCGTACGTTGGTATGACGTCCTTCAGTGTTTCAAATGGAATATTGTCTCCTCGTTTGCTTGTGCTAGCCATTGTGTCGTCCTTTTGTAGTGTAAGCAGCTGTATTTCTTTTTGTAGCAGTTGAATCTTAAGGGCTGCTGCTTCGCCGTCGTCGTGGACGTGGACTGTGGCTAAATTCTCAGCTGTGCCGCTAACCGAGCTTTCGTTGTCTACCACGTAACTTGTTGGACGACTCCCGAAGGTGCCGCTACGCACACATGCTACACCCCTTTGAATGTAACTGGCATCATTGTCGTCGTTGGTTACCAATATATTTCTTTCGCACCGTTGTACATTGCCGCTCCTTGAAACTCTGCCGTTGTCCTCACCGTTATCCTCACCGTTGCCATCTCCGTTGTGCTCACCGTTGCTATCGCCCTTATGCTCACCGTTGTCTTCCCCGTTATTTTCGCCGTTGTCTTCACCCTGTTTGTTCTGGTCATCTAGGTTGTCGCAACTTTGTTTGCCCGCCTTGTCCACTTTTGGGCATAATCCTCGAGCTTCGGCTGACAGCTCATTTAATCTTGCAGCTAAAGACGCCTTAGCACCACTCACATTAATGCCTACAGCAGTACACCAGGCTTTTAACTGCAGTAGGGAATATTTTTCTGCGTTTATATCGCGATTCATTTTACGGAAATTTTTATTTTAACACGTCTTTGAAATTTAATTTTACTTCGTAAAACTATTTGTTTAGTTTTTGCGCGCTACTTTGATGTTCGATATAAAATTTTACTTTAATTTAGTTCTAAGACCACTTCTGATGAAATGTATCAGGTGGCGACAAAATAAATCAAACACGTCCGTTCTTTGTAATGTGCAAAATCGAATGATGTCTTCGATCCGTTTTTTAATGCCGTATAGCGTCGTTTTTACAAAACGGTTCTTACTCGCTGCAATTTAAGCGATTTCTATTGGCTAGTTACAAGAGATCCTTAAGGTCTAGTTAGAGTTTGAACATTTGTGAAACTTAAGGTCTAAATACAACCAAATCTTAGCAGATAAATCTTAAGATCTAATTAGTTATAAGAACGCATGTGCACACGAACACCTACACACTTATGAGTCCTACAATACTGAACAATCATATGATTGGTATTGGATGTCCAGCTTATGTTGTAAATAATACTGTACATAAAGGCTGTGATATGTTATCCTGTAACGTAGAACTAATCATTTTAAAAATATATAATTATTTATCGGTTTTTACAGTTAGAACTGAGTCTTTAAAAGATTTCTGTCTACAATCTGAGGTGGAATACGTTAAATTACTTTATCACAGTGGCTAAGTTTACATCCAGCGATAGAGCGTTTATTAAAACTATATGAACCGCTCAAGAGTTACTTTATAAGTTTGAATAATCCGCCGAAAGTAATTAAAATTTTTTTTGTTTTTCATCCACTTTTCTCCCCGTTTTCGGATTTTTTGCTGGCTGGGCTGTTCTCGTAACAAGCGCAGCAGCTTCGCGCACGTGTACATGTTACTTATTCTTTGGAACTTCGCAATCACACTGCGAAAGAGCGAATCAACATAATTTTAGAGGCAGTCGAGAACGAACTTATAAAAAGATTGAAAACTTGTGAATTTTTTAGTTTTCAACTTGACGAAAGTACCGACGTAGAGGGACTTAGTGTCCTTCTCGTGTTAGTGAGGTACCCATTCGCAATGCAAATCGAAGAAGAACTTTTGATGAGCGAAGTACTTGAGACTTATACCACTAGCAACACAATTTTTAAAGCTGTCGACAAATATGTACAGAACAATTGTGTGTGGATATTTGCAGTGGTTGGAAAAACGAAAGGAGCAATGTCTAGAATAAAGCAAGAGGCAGAAAACGCCACGAGAAGTCACTGTATGATCCGTCGGTATTCCCTGGCGACTAGGAAGATGTCGCCACTAGATTTAAAACCCGTACTGGATAACAGAGGCCTGCGAAATTAAAATCAGGGACCGTAACGGTTATAACTTTTATTATAAAAATCACTTTTTAATCGTTATTAACTGAGTTTTATTTTTTGCTCAAAACATAACGATTATTTTTTGAGTTTTATTTTTTGCTCGGAAAATAATGGTTACGTTTTAAGTTTTATTTTTTGCTCGGAAAAAAATCGTTACGCTTTAAGTTTTATTTTTTGTTCGGAAAATAAGGGTTACGTTTTAAGTTTTATTTTTGGCTCGGAAAATAATGGTTACGTTTTGAGTTTTATTTTTTGCTCGGAAAATAATCGTTATTTCTTGAGTTTTATTTTTTGTTCAGAAAATAAAACTTAATTTTGCGTATGTATGCGTATGCGTATTCGTGAATAGATAGGGGCGGCTGCATTGAACTCTTAACGCCACTGTGGAGTGGGTAATGAAAATACAGAGAGCAAGATACAAGGGCAGAAACAAAAACAAGTGCAACGACAAAACCACAGACACTCACAACCTATATTGAAGGATCAAGCCAATGATAAAGATGAAGAATAGGACAAAGTTAAAGATAAATAAAAGACAAGGATAAAGACAATGATGAAGATGAAGATGAAGATCCAGATGCAGATGCAGATGCAGATGCAGATGAAGATGAAGATGAAGATTCTTCATCTTCATCTTCATCTTCATCTTCATCTTCATCTTCATCTTCATCTTCATCTTCATCTTCATCTTCATCTTCATCTTCATCTTTGCATCTGCATCTGCATCTG